CCACTCCTTGCATAGATAACAAATTGCATGCAGGACACATGAATTCTGCATTAAGGCCCTGGGGAGTCAGCACAGCTAAACGGACAAGGGCACATGTATGAGTGTGGGGCTGGTGCTAGTGATTGGCTATATGTTTTAGGGGAGTGGTTATGGGTTTGTAATGGGGCAGGGATCATCTTACCTCAGTACCTTTTGGAATTCTGGCCAGCAAACAACTTCCCACCCACCCTAATTTTCTGTTTTTGTTCCGTCACAGCTAGCGGGGAGCGTGTCCTTGCCAACAGGGTTGGGGAGCAGATGGAATGTCAGTAGATGGACATGGTTGGTCTCAACCTCCCCTACTCTGTAAGGTAAACTTTTAAGTTACCGAATAGGACGTGCCCACCGAGCAAAAAGCCGGCTGGTGGTACAGCATTTAAGATGATGGGAATTTTTGGTTTGGACGAGGGGGCAGGTGAGACACCAGTGGGTAAAGTTTTGGTGCATAGGCACCTGGTTAAGTTCGTTGGCAAGGATGGTTATTTAAGTTGGAGGCTGTAGGGCAATAAGTGTAATTTATATGTTAATTATGGTATGTATATATATTTATGTGTTTCTATTTAAATTAAAGAAAATAATGAAGTTCGGATGAGTCCTACAGTTCTAAGTTTAATAAATGATGTGGCCTGTTTCATCCAATATTCGTTGTTTGTCATTATTGGGGGGAGAATTGGGGTAGTCTCCTTACTCTTAGTTGAACCACATACCCGCTACGTACATACATGTTGAACAGCAATTGAAAGTTCTGACCGGCAGAATGTGGGATTCATGAGCTCCTGTTATGAAGTCACTTCATTAATCACAAGACGAATCCCAAAGGTACAACTATAATTAGTTTAGTGATAGCATACCAGTAGTATGTAAATGATATACACGCTCCCGCAGCACTTGAAGACTTGAGAGGCATCCCACATAAATAAGGTTATCTAGCAAAGCTACTTCCCTGCCTCATCATAAAGACTTGTGAATATCCTTCATTGCAAAGAACTTACATCTCATGAAGTGGATTACTTTCATAAAATATATTAAAGTATTAGAACCTGCCAAATGGAGAAGGTTGGAGTAGAGGGAAGCTTAGAAATTGTATGGCCACATATAATATAACTAAACCTGCATTGTTTCACCTAAGATAGGTGATCTTATTAAAATCCGTAAGTTTTAGAGCATTTGTCTAGTGTATATGTAGTACATTTATTGTGAATATTACATATACAAATACATACATTTAAATGACATTGCAGGGTTCATCCAAGTTCAATCATGAGAGCCCATCTTCTGTGTTTTCATAGAACACTATCTGCCCAGGAATTATTATAAGTGTTTCATACATTTCACAGAAGTGTACACAAACGTTTAAATTTAAAGCAGATGTTCTCATACAAGCTCTTTGTGTCTCACACTAAAATGGTAATCTAAATACTGTAATACCAAATATGTGGAGTTTCCTATAGCTGTGTGGTTGCGTTACCTCCCAGGTGTCATTTGGAGCACAGCATTTAAAATAGCCGCATTGGGTCTTTAAAATTCAGCATCACTCTTGGAAAATGTAACCTGGAAAAAAAGTTAACTTATAAAATTTGCTAACAAATTGGTCACAGCAATTCACCTCTTGCAGTAATTGTGTCATTATATAGCCACAGATAATGCAGCATTAAAAAGTATGCACAGTGTTCAACAGGCTACCTACCCGTCTACAGTGTTGAAAAACACGCCACAGTTACAGAGACCATTGAGGGTTCAGTTCTATGTACTTATTGTTTAATTTCAGGGTCAGTGAACAGATTAAAAACAAACAGGATGTAAGCAGCATCTATATGAGGTTGATATTTACATGACAGGTGTATAGTCGCCATTTTGGGCAGTCGGAATCCAGGACAATAACCCCATAACCTAACCCAATAACGCACGGACACTAAGGGATATGGGGAAATTTGTCCACAGCTTTATTAAGCAAACAATAATAATAACAATAATAATAATAATAATAACTTAACAAGTAACACATGGGTCATTGCCCCCCATACTCCGCCCTCACATCCTATTCCTTCCATTAACATATAAAGGGCCATGACCCCCATATAAATAAACATATATAATAACATACATCAACATTATTCCAATCGATGTAAAGTGCCAACCATCCATTAGCCACGGCAGGGGTATACCCGGATACCCCTACCCCACCAGGTTCTGAGCCACCGACAGGACTCGAAACCTATCAACCACCGATGACCACCACTTGTTTGTTTTCCATTACGTTCATCCTGGGGAGCCTATTTCCTTTCCTTCAGCTCCCCATCCCGCCATAAGCTCAGACCTTGACCCCTTAAGCCGTCTGAGCTCCGCCACCCCGAAGAAACAGCGCCCGCTGCATACCAACCTGCCAACCCAAATTTAGCAGATCCCAACCCACCTCCGAAAGATGAACCCCGTCCGAGCGGTAATACCCCGGCAACCCCTCTTCCAACTCGCTGTGTCGTACCACCACGCCCCCCACCTTCCTAACAAAGCTTGCCATCAAGCTGTTCACTTTCTTCCTGCATTGATTGATAGCCACCGGATCCCGCGTGTGCCGCCACCGACGCCTTGGGACAATCTCCGACCACACCAACATAACCCCCGGAAGCAGGTCCCTCAGTTTGTTGATGTCCTGCTTCATCCATTTTACCAACCGACGTTGCGGCGTAAGGCCCAAGTCGTTACCCCCGGCATGAAGGACCACCATGTCCGGCGTTTTCCCGCCTGCAACCATCCTAAACATTGCCCCACAAACCTCCCCCCAGCAAAATCCCCGGTACCCAAACCATCGGACTGCCAACTGGTCCTTCGGAAAGCCCAGCTGCTGGCCCTGCGTTCGAGCTGCGGCCCTCCTCTCGGCCCAGAAGACAAAAGAATGTCCCACAATCCAAGCAACCCGTCCTGGGGAGAAGAAGAAAACAAGCGTGAGGGAAAGGCAAAGGGAAACTCCCCCGTTCATGCCCGCCCCCGTACCTTATATATACATAGATATATATATAGACACATATACATACGCATACATGTACACACACTTTTTTTTTTTTTTTAATTATTATTCCAATAAGCCCAAACGTACATATGAGCGGAACCGCACCGACTCCCATCTCCCTATGCGCTTCACGACCTCATCTCCTAGTCCCAACCGTGCGGCCTCCGTGGCTGCCCCAATGCGAAAGGAGTGAGTACCAAAACGTCCGGCCGGAAGCCCCAACTTACCTAGTCCCGACCGAAAAACCTTTGTAAACTGGAATCGGGACAGGGAAGAACCATCCGCATGCACCAAGAAAGAACCCCCTACCGCCGGCCTCTGGGCCATGTACTCCGCCACTGCAGCCACCGGGCACAATACTGCGCCCGGTAGGGCCCATAGTGTTACGTCCCGACCCACGCCGCGGACGTCTGTTTTTGATTTACCCAGATGCACAACCACCTTACCCTCCAAAACACGAACCCCCGAGGCCTGCAAACCCCCAGGCACGACCCTACTGGCACTCACTAGCTCCCCCACGCGGAACGCCCCGAAGAATGCCAGGAGAAAGGCCGCTCTGAACAAAGAGACCTCGAACCCGTTGAAGCAAATTACCGGCAACAGACCCACCAGATCCCCCAACACCCGCACAGACACCGGGCGCCTAGAGTCACATGACCTGCGGCCCTTTCGATAACCCTTCAACGCCTGCCGGACTAGGAAGGTCTTGGTCAGATCCTCCTTCCCGCGCCACCGGAACCAGAATGCCATTGCCGCCATGGACCTGTCGACCACTGCCGGGGACGCCCCCTTTGCCAGCAATTGACAGGTGTACCACAGAAAAGCGTCTTGCAGCGCATCCCCTTGTAAGACATGACCCAACCCGTCCAATGACCGTTCCCAAGAGTCCCAGACCTTACTGTAGGAGGCCCATGTGGCCGGTGCCAGCGAAGCCTTCACAAGTCCCCCAAGCAGGATGCTCCCAGCTGCCATATCTCGTCCGGGCAAGCCTGCCCCTCCTTCAATGCCCCTGGCGCCATCATCCAAAATCGGGACCACTGAAAACGAGACAGAGCGTCAGCCACTTCGTTCAGGTACCCAGGGACATGACGCGCGCGAAAAACAACATTCCGTGACATACACATTAACACAAAGCGCCGCAGCAACCTAACCACCGGCTTAGAGGCAGCCGATTGATTATTCACCGCGTGCACCACCGCCATGTTATCCGAGAAAAAGACCACTTTCTGCTCCCGGAGCCCCTCGCCCCACAGTGCCATTGCAACGACCAACGGGAATAATTCCAGAAAAGCCAGGTTGCGCATGACCGGGCTGGACCCCCATGTCTCCGGCCACCGCTCCGCGCACCATCTCCCGCCGAAGTAGGCTCCGAAGCCCACACTACCCGACGCATCCGTGAAGAGCTCCAGCTCCGCCGCAGACTTACCTGCCTGCCGGAAAAACACCGCCCCGTTGAAATCCTGCAGGAAGGCATCCCAAACGCCCAAATCAGCCCTCATGGCTGCCGACACCCGTATGAAGTGGTGTGGGGATCGAACCCCTGCCGTAGCAGCCGCCAGGCTGCGGCTGAAAACCCTCCCCATAGGAATTACACGGCATGCAAAGTTCAGCATCCCGATCAACGACTGCAGTTGCCGCAGCGTAACCTTGCGCGCAACGGCCACCGCAGCCACTGCATCTCTGAGCCCCTCCAGCTTGTCCCGAGGCAGCCGGCATTCACCCAAGACCGAATCTATTTCCAACCCCAGGAAACTAAGGCACGTCGCCGGGCCCTCCGTCTTATCCGCAGCCAGCGGCACCCCGAAGTGGCCCGCCACCCATTCCATGGTCCTAAGCAGTTGCTGGCACGCCGAGGAGGTAGCCGGCCCCACGCAAAGGAAATCGTCCAAGTAGTGTACTACTGAACGGCTCCCTGCCTCCACCCGCACCACCCATTCGAGAAAAGTACTAAACTTCTCGAAATAGGAGCATGAAATGGAACAGCCCATTGGGAGGCACAAGTCCACGAAATACTTCCCCTCGAAAAAACATCCCAGCAGGTGGTGACAGTCCGGGTGGACTGGCAGCAGCCGAAACGCTGCCTCAACATCCACTTTGGCCATAAGCGCCCCATGCCCGGCCCGTTTTACCAGCTCGACCGCCCGGTCGAATGATGCATACGAGACCGAGCACAAGTCCTTATCAATACCGTCATTCACCGACTCCCCTTTAGGGTAGGAGAGGTGGTGAATGAGCCAGAACTTCCCCGGCTCCTTCTTTGGCACCACCCCGAGAGGGGAAACCCGGAGGACCTCCAATGGGGGTACCGTGAACGGGCCCGCCATTCGCCCTAGCTTAACCTCCTTGTCTAGTTTTTCCCGTACCACCCCCGGGAAATCCGCCACCGACTTCAGGTTGCGCAACCCCCCCGATCCCCCCTGCTCCCGGAAGGGGATAAAGAAGCCGCGCCCGAAGCCCTCCCGAAGTACTGAGGCATCAGTCCTGTTACCGTAGCGGCTTAGCCACGGCTCCATCGCGTCTAGCCTCACCGGTGTGAAGCCCCGGGGCAGGGGAAGCACTCCCTCCGGCCCCGGCGGCTGCTCCGGCGGTTCCCGCCTTCCCTTTTTTGAAACAGCGATTGAGCCCATGAGCACCCCCGCAACCAGAGCACTCGTGCTTAAATCGACATGCGGTTCCCCATTTGCACTGGCCCTCGTTGTAGAGCCAGCAGAAGCCCTTTTGTAAAGCGGCCGACGAGGCGGACTGCCCCTTCGCGCCGGCCGAGTTTTGAAAGGGCTGCGCCTTCTGAGCCATCATTAGCTTCATCCAGAGAGGCAGATCCATCTGATCCCACCTCATACCCGGGTTAGCCGCCAGTCGCTGCCTGAACTGTTCATCGTACCGCCACCATGCCAGCCCCCCATAGGTGCGGTATGCTTCCCAAATGCCGTCCAGGTAGCAGAACAGGGACGAGCATAATCCCGGCGATTTCTCACCGAGCACGCTGGCCAACACGCAAAACGCCCTCAACCAGTTACCAAAGGATTTCGGGATCTTACGATACCGCTTCCTTTTTTCCTCCTCCTCCTTCTTCTCATCCTTCTTATCATCCTCTTTGAGGTCAATAAAGTCCTCCAAGGGGAGCAGGGAGAAGATCTCGCAAAACTCACCTTTCCAGAGCTTCTCTTTCACGTCCTGTTTCAGATGAACCCCCAGGGGGCCCGCAAATGAGACGTACGCGTGCTGCCTCGCCGCGTCCGGAATACCCCCGGCCAGTTCCGCCCTGTCACTCCCGGCCGCCATCGCCTCGGGTGCCACCCCCACGTCCCCGCCCGAGCTAAGCCCCACGGAAACCCCACTAGGACCAGGGACCCGACCAACGCCGCCCCCCGTGTCACCCCCCGCCCCCAGTGAGTGGAGCAGTGCTTGAAGTGTGCTAACTAAGGAGCTGGAGTGTAGTGACCCACAAGACTCACCGGCCAAGCCCCCTGATACCAGAGCGGCAGGGGCTGCGTCGTCGACTGCCCGATGTCCAGGGAGAGCGACTCCCGCCGATACCTCGCCAACCGGGGAGCCAAACCGGTGCCTTGCCCGTGTCGATATGGAACGGCTCCGTGACCTGGAAAGAGGAGAAGAGGTCCTGGGTAGGGTGCACTGAGTACCTGCTTCCCCCCGTCCCGACCCTGGGAGCGCCTGCCCATTGCCAAGGCCTCCCGCTGCGCCCCCCGCGTGCACTGCGCGCGGGAGCCCCTAGGGCTACGACTCCTCCTGTCCCCTCCTGGTAACCGTCCCCGCCGACCACCCCTGGGGACGCTAGCCCTGCCCTCCCCTGAGCTACCTGACGTGGAGCGGTGCTGCCGGGACCTCCCCCTCCTCCCCCTGGGCTCTAAGTCCCGAACTGGAGAGAGACTACCACTACTAGACCCTGAACCAGACCCCCCCCTCCTACTACCCTGCACCCCCAAACGCTCACCCTTCCAGCGAGAGCCCGACCCCCCACCCGAAGTGGCTCCCAGACTAAGGGCACCCGGACCCCCCTCAACCATACTGGCTGAGGAAGCCCCCCCAACCCCTAAACCAGGCCTACCCGACCCTACCTGCCCAGGCCTAGCCCCAGAACCCGTGGAGGCCCCCCTCCCCCCACCAGGTGAGCCCAGCAGCCCCTCACCACCCCCAGCCCCCTCTCCCCTACTACTACTCCCCCCACCTGTGGCCCCTGTGCCCCCCCCATCCAGCACCAGTGATCCCAGGGAGGCCTTCCCGCCCCCCACCTGGGCCCTCCGACCCCCACCCCCTGCCAAGACCCCCCCAGCGCTTCTCCCGCCAAGGGGGCCCCGGCCGGAGCCCCCTGCACTTGCCTTTGGGGCCGGGAACCGGCCACGTGTCCTCCCGGTCCCGGCCCCGCCGACCTCCGCCTCCGACGGGGTGGGCGCCTCCCGGGCCGCACCTCCATGCCGCCTGCTCCTCCAGGGGACCGCCCGGCCACGTCCGACCCGGCAGCCGCGACGGCCCCGTCCCGACCGTCCCCCCGGCGCCGGGCACTGGTCCTAGGCCCCGGCCGCTCGCGGGGAGGCGGGGCCTCTACCACGCGGCTGCCGGGCCTGCTGCCGCCCGCACCGGAGCCTCCCGGACCACCAGGGACGTCTTCACCGGGTCCCCCACCCGGGCTTAGTCGCTCCGGGGGCCTCCTGGCCCGAACAGGCCTGCCACCGCCGCCGTCCCGGTTCGCCGCCTCCGCCAGGGCCGGGCCTAGCTGGGCCCTCAGCCAGTCAGCCCCCTGGTGCCTCGCCGCCGACCGGATCCCCTCCAGCAGTCGCTCCACTTCGTCCATCGCCCTGCAGGGAGACAAAAGAAGAAAAAACCCTACCAAGCCAAATCTGTGCCCACAGGAGCGAACACAAACTTAACCAGGTAGGAAATTAGAATGACTTACCTAAAATGGCTGCCCATTTAAATAACCAAACCTACTTACCCATAACTCCACTCCCTTGCTTACTTCCTCCTAAGCCCGCCTCCTAACCCCTGTCAAGGCCTTTTTCCGCTTAGCTGCGCCTGGCTACATGGGGCTACATGAAAAAAAAGGCAGCAAAATCAGCACCAACATATTTCCTGCATTATCCTGGGAGAGTGAATTTAGTTCCTTAAGACGAATACGCCATTGCTGTGTGTTACAAAGCGCTCACTATCCCCTTGTATTTCACCATTACCCTACTCATTGTGTGTATCTCTCATTTGTGCATTAATTTATCATGTCATTGCACGTATCTCCATATTTCCATGTTGAGTGTATCTTTCCATCTTTTAGCTTCTACCTTGTGTTTTTTATAATTGGTTACCCCAACCTGTGATTGTCTTATCATCTCATTCCTCAGCTTGTGACATTCATCAACTATTTGAAAAATAAATAGGGGAACCATGTCTATAAACATATTATATTGCCAGAGCAATGTGCTGTAGTGCTTATTCTAATTGGAGTGCCCTTTTAAAGGACCACTATAGTGCCCCCACCCTCAGGGTCCCCCTCCCACCGCGCTCAAGTGGGTGGAAGGGGTTAAACTTACCTCTTTCTCCCGCACCGGGCGGGGGACTCTCCTACTCCTCTCCTCCTCCTCTTTGGCTGAATGTGCATGCGCGGCAGGAGCCGCGCGCGCATTCAGCCAGTCCATAGGAAAGCATTCACAATGGCAGCCAACAGGAGACAACAGCTGCAGTACTGATTTAAACAGTCCCAGCTACAGTAGCTAGACAGCCATCTACGTCCTCTCTATAGCAGCCAGCCCTGATTGCCAGCTGAGTGTCTGTTTTTGTAGACCCCCTCCCTTTGACCCCTATTAAACCAACCTGTGGATCCTTTGCCAGCTCAGGTTGGCAACTAGTCACGGTCACCCCCACACCTCACTCTATGTGATGGCTGCTTCCTGCTGCCTCCAGGACTGGCTCTGTACAGGGACCTGCACACCAGTCATCTCGGTTACCCACGTTTTTTTCAAGGTTTTTTAACTACCTTCTACCTGACACTAAGCCCATAATAAAGTAGTCGGCAGCCAGAAATGAGCCAGCAGTGGTGGGGACATGAGAAGTGGAGCCGCTAGAAGTCAGTCCAGGCTCCACTCCAGCCAAGAGCCACTCCACCACGGCTACAGCAAAGATAAGTATCTTGATTGGCTGCAGTGCACACATAGGAATCCAATCCCCAGCCCACACATAGCACACACAGCATCCCCAGCACACACACAGGCACACACTGAATCCCCAGCACACACAGACACACACTGCATTCCCAGCACACACACAGCATCCCCAGCACACACACAGGCACACACTGTATCCCCAGCACACACAGACACACACACACCACATCACCAGCACACACACAGACACACACTGCATCCCCAGCACACACAGAGACACACACTGCATCCCCAGCACACAGAGAGACATACACTGCATCCTCAGCATACACACAACCACACTGCATCCCCAGCACAAACAGACAGGGAAAGTAAGGGCGGGGGGGCTGTAGAGGATGGGACACGGGGGTGTGGTGGGGGACCCAGAGGCTATAGAATGGGGGTAGGGGCATAAAGGGGGGAGTCATGGGCTGTAGAGAAGGGCACAGGGGTTGTGGTGGGTGCCCAGGGGTTATAAAGGGGCTGTGGTGGGGGGCATAGGGGCTGTAAAGGGAGCACAGGGGCTATAGAAGGGGTGGGCAGAGGCACAGGGGCTTTAGAAGGGAGGGCATAGGGCTATAGAAGGGGTGGGCAGGGGCTGTAAAAGGGGCCACATGGGGCTATAGAAGTGGTGGGCAGGGGCAAAAGTCCTGGGAGAAGAGCAGTGGAAGTCACACCCCCTCCTCCTGACATCATCAGGAGAGGCCGGCCGACTTCTCTGGCTACAGGGAGACAGGTAATGTGAAAAATCTGAGTCTCCAGCCAGAAGCAGGGGACTTGGATTTTTGCGCCTCCCTGCTCTGGCGCTCTGAGGCAACCGCCTGTGCCGCCTAATGGACGCGCCGGCCCTGACCTCCCCTACACATACACACAGTACCTCCCAAACACATAAAATATTCCCTATACACACAGTGATGGGTTCTGCACAAAAACACAATACAGAAACACAGACCTATCATCAATAAACCTACAATTTTCAAATGGTAGAAACATAAATGCTGGCCATCCAAAACAGCACATGAATTGCCAATTTTTATTCTAAACTAGCCCAAACTACTACTCCGCTCATAAGCCAGGAGCTATTTACACACACAACACTAACAAAAATTTAAATGAATATTACAAATGCAACAAAAACATGTATACTTTATTAAAGGGATACTCTAGGCACCTAGACCACTTCAGCTCATTAAAGTGGTCTGGGTGCAGTGTCCCTTTTGCACCTAGTGCTGCAATGTTAGACAAGAAAATGCCCGACAGACACCAAGTCTGCCGTCTGTGGCTGTCTACCAGACAGCCACGCGTGGCGCTTCTGGAATCGTAATAGATTTTTGGTCCATTATCTAACGCTGATGTCCTCACGCTCTGCCTGAGG